AAAGCTGCGCAAGGATCATACGAAGGTGAGGGTCGCTCCCTGACACATGGCGGTCATGTCAAGACCCTGGTGTGCTACTGAAAAAACACACAAAGCTGGTCTGCATTCATAGATGTTCTTTTGGGTTGCCAGAATGGTCTATCTTAATACTAAATGTAATCGTATATCATCTGATATTATCTTGATATACTCAATATCATCTTATATATATATATATAACTTGATATTACTGTTGTCTTTTTCGGCCCAGGTTGTTTTCCTGTGGCCAACATTTAACATGGTGATTGGAAATCTTAAACCATGATGGTGCTAGATGATGTTAGAATTATGCTAGCTGTACCAAACTATTTTGAAAAAACATATTCAACCATGGTTTATTTTTTTCCATGGTATACCATCTATGATTGCAAAATCAATCTTCATGAATCATACTGAAACTCCTTCACCAAGACCCAGGTTTCACCACAGCCTCACCAACTGTTGCCATCCATTTCCCGTGGGGATTTGCGCGGGATGGGTGGTTTCCACCACTCGCGTGACGTAGATTGGGGGTTCGATCCACTGGCGATGGTAGGCACCGAACCGTTGGAATGAATGGGAACAAGTGAAGAACCTGAAAGATCCTGAAAAGTCAAAAATCCGCCGACCCCGCTTGCAGCAGGGGGAGCGCGTCAGAGGAGGAATTACCAGCAGCAAGGGCCAAGAAGTCATTACAAGCAGCAAGGGCAAGAAGCAAGAAAACAAGAAAGAAGAAGCAAGAAGCAAGAAGCAATTACAGGCAACAAGCGGCAAGAAGCAAGAAACAAGAAGCCAGGAAGCAACAAGCGGCTGGAAGACAGGTCAGAGAGCTAGTTTTCTTGTCGATTCAGAAAGCAACGTTAGGCACTGCGGGCGGTGGCCCGCAGGCCCTGTCCGTCCCTCAGGGCCCTGCTGTTCGGTGTGGCGAGCGCGCCCTGTGTGAGCCGTGGCGGCTGGAAGACAGGTCCTGGCGGCCGTAGCCCGCAGGCCCGGTCCGTCCCTCAGGACCCTGCTGTTTTGGCGTGGCAATCGCGCCGTGTGTGAGCTTTGGCGGCTGGAAGACAGGTCAGATAGCTAGCTTTCTTGTAAGTTCAGAAAGCAACGTTAGGCACTGCGGGCGGTGGCCCGCAGGCCCTGTCCGTCCCTCAGGGCCCTGCATCGGTGTGGCGAGCGCGTCCTGTGTGAGCCGTGGCGGTGTGAGCCGTGGCGGCTGGAAAACAGGTCCCATGGCGGCCGTAGCCCGCAGGCCCGGTCCGTCCCTCAGGACCCTGCTGTTTTGGCGTGGCAATCGCGCCGTGTGTGAGCTTTGGCGGCTGGAAGACAGGTCAGACAGCTAGCTTTCTTGTAGGTTCAGAAAGCAACGTTAGGCTGGCCCGCAGGCCCTGTCCGTCCCTCAGGGCCCTGCTGTTTCGGTGTGGCGAGCGCGCCGTGTTTGAGCCTTGGCGGCTGGAAGACAGCTAAGAGAGTTAGTTTTCGTTAGGCAGTGGGGGCCGTGGCCTGCAGGCCCGATCCGTCCCTCAGGGCCCTGCTGTTTGGCTGTGGCGGAGGCGCCGTTTTAGGTCAGACAGCTACGTGGAGGCCGTGGCCCGCAGGCCCGGTCCGTCCCTCAGGGCCCTGCTGTTTGGCTGTGGCGGAGGCGCCGTTTTAGGTCAGACAGCAAGCTTTCTTGTAAGTTCAGAAAGCAACGTTAGGCACTGCGGGCGGTGGCCCGCAGGCCCTGTCCGTCCCTCAGGGCCCTGCATCGGTGTGGCGAGCGCGTCCTGTGTGAGCCGTGGCGGTGTGAGCCGTGGCGGCTGGAAAACAGGTCCCATGGCGGCCGTAGCCCGCAGGCCCGGTCCGTCCCTCAGGACCCTGCTGTTTTGGCGTGGCAATCGCGCCGTGTGTGAGCTTTGGCGGCTGGAAGACAGGTCAGACAGCAAGCTTTCTTGTAGGTTCAGAAAGCAAGGTTAGGCACTGAGGGCAGTGGCCCGCAGGCCCTGTCCGTCGCTCAGGGCCCTGCTGTTTTGGTGTGGCGAGCGCGCCGTGTTTGAGCCTTGGCAGCTGGAAGACAGCTAAGAGAGTTACTTTTCGTTAGGCAGTGGGGGCCGTGGCCCGCAGGCCCGATCCGTCCCTCAGGGCCCTGCTGTTTGGCTCTGGCGGAGGCGCCGTTTTAGGTCGAGGCCGTGGCCCGCAGGCCCGGTCCGTCCCTCAGGGCCCTGCTGTTTGGCTGTGAAGGAGGCGCCGTTTTAGGTCAGACAGCTACTTGTCTTGTAGGTTCAGAAAGCAACGTTAGGCAGTGGGGGCCGTGGCCCGCAGGCCTCGTCCGTCCCTCAGGGCCCTGCTGTTTCGGTGTGGCGAGCGCGCCCTGTGTGAGCCGTGGCGGCTGGAAGACAGGTCCTGGCGGCCGTGGCCCGCAGGCCCGGTCCGTCCCTCAGGACCCTGCTGTTTTGGCGTGGCAATCGCGCCGTGTGTGAGCTTTGGCGGCTGGAAGACAGGTCAGACAGCTAGCTTTCTTGTAGGTTCAGAAAGCAACGTTAGGCACTGAGGGCGGTGGCCCGCAGGCCCTGTCCATCCCTCAGGGCCCTTGCAGCAGGGGGAGCGCGTCAGAGGAGAGCTTTGGCGGCTGGAAGACAGGTCAGACAGCTAGCTTTCTTGTAAGCAACGTTAGGCACTGAGGGCGGTGGCCCGCAGGCCCGGTCCGTCCCTCAGGACCCTGCTATTTTGGCGTGGCAATCGCGCCGTGTGTGAGCTTTGGCGGCTGGAAGACAGCTTTGGCGGCTGGAAGACAGAGACAGCTAGCTTTCTTGTAAGTTCAGAAAGCAACGTTAGGCACTGCGGGCGGTGGCCCGCAGGCCCTGTCCGTCCCTCAGGGCCCTGCTGTTTCGGTGTGGCGAGCGCGCCCTGTGTGAGCCGTGGCGGTGTGAGCCGTGGCGGCTGGAAAACAGGTCCTGGCGGCCGTAGCCCGCAGGCCCGGTCCGTCCCTCAGGACCCTGCTGTTTTGGCGTGGCAATCGCGCCGTGTGTGAGCTTTGGCGGCTGGAAGACAGGTCAGACAGCTAGCTTTCTTGTAGGTTCAGAAAGCAACGTTATGCACTGAGGGCGGTGGCCCGCAGGCCCTGTCCGTCCCTCAGGGCCCTGCTGTTTCGGTGTGGCGAGCGCGCCGTGTTTGAGCCTCGGCGGCTGGAAGACAGCTAAGAGAGTTAGTTTTCGTTAGGAGGGGTCGGCGGCAGAGGGCGTAGCCCTTTAATTGACGTACTTCCCTTGCAACCATGGAGGTTCCAAAGTAAAACAAGAACAAAACTTGGCCACAAATAGGCCCAGAAGATCAGCATGGACCGATGATGCCTCACAAGCACCCTGGTCACAACACAGGCACCTTTACGCCCTACTGGCTATGTCTCTTCTGTGTCCCCAGTGTTGGGGCTCCTCATTTGACGCTGTGACCTGGGATGCCCACCTGTTGATCTTCACAATTCATGTGTGTCTATGATTGGATTGTCCCAAAATCATGGATACTTTGGAACTGATGGTTGGTATCCCAGTGATTGATAAACATGTATGTTACATGTCAAAGAACATATTGATGGATTTTGCCACTGCCTCTCTTGAATGAACACCTTCGCGGCGACTCCCGTTCTGGCGCTTTGCTTTCTGGCGTTTTTTATTTCGCCGTTCTTTGGACGTGTGCTTTTTGAAGCCGAAAAGGACATTGGCAGCACCAAATCGGGACCAGAAACTGGTCCATCCCATGGTGACAGGGACAGGATGAGCGAAGCGCTACGACTGAGCTTCGCGAGTCGGCTGCCCCCATTCACTGCTTGGTTTACGCTTGGAAAGAAAGAACATTTCTCAGTGATTCTCAGTGTCATTCAAATAACCAGACTTTTAAATCTGTTGAACCACTCCCAGATCTCCCCATGTAGAGATCGCCAAAAATCACCAAATCTTTCAAACTCAGGGCTGTGGGGCACGGCTAGTCGTCACAGTGTCGTCCGCGCGGCACCTATGGATGCTAGGAGCTGTTGCAGGGACCAACCATGTGGCTACCTAAGTTCCAATTCCAACAATCTATGGATGCAAGCCGCCTTTTTTTGCCACGTTGTAAGCCAATTCCGAAACAAGACCCAGGGGATGGGTGTTCCATTGGATATCCAGCACCATCCCCAAGGCACCAGTGACCAGCTATTAAATAAATCCTCCAAAATTGGAGACTTATGAGGATTTGGATGTTGGGGTTACGATGTTGGGGTTACCCCCTGGTAAACTAACATAGCTATGGAACATCATTATTTTTAATGGGTAAATCCGCTATAAATGGCAATTTTCAATAGCTATGTTAGTTTACCAGAGGGTACTTTAAGATCATTAAGACATACACAGGAACAATCTGGTCCTCGTCCCCACATGCTGCCCCCCTGCCTAGTGATTCAAAGCTTCTGAACGGCAAGGATGGCCTGCTGCTGATGGATAGTGATGGATTTGATTTCCAAGTGCATTTAATCAATTAGATCATTTTTTCGGATCAACAAGAAATCTATATACTTGGATGTCCGAAAATTGGCTCTGACCCCCCATTGTTTTGACCCGACTTACTGGGGGAAACAGACGATCCTCTCTTGAAATTTAGGATCCTTCGTTGGCGCGCCTCGCCCAAGGAGCGTGGTCTTGGCTTTGGGTGACTGGGACCTTGGGCGAGCAAGCTATCTCGCAAGTTATCTCCATCTCCATGGCTTCACAGGGCGGAAATGGGCTGATTTCAAGGGATATGTCGGAGATGTAGAAAACCTATGGATATCATTGGATATCTATGGATCAGTTTGCACCTCCCCTTCACCGGACAGCTTCTCCCTCAGCTTTTTGTCGCCGGCGTCGCCCTTGGCGTCGCCCTTGGAGTCTCTTCCAACCTGGGCTGAGTCCCCGGTTGCGCAAGAATCCTGGGGGATTTCACCATCAAAAACGCTGATATCAACCAACAGTAGTGGGAAAATTGCACGCTCTCTACAATCAAGGATGTTGTTCCGATGTTGTTCCGTCATGAAGAATTTGGTTTGGGCCGCTACACCATAAATCCCATTCTTTACCTAGAACTGCTCTAAAAAGCAAAGGTTCAAGGCCACAGTTGGCAGGTCGGTAGTCAAGCAACGCATCAGCGAGGTTGAAGAAACCTGCCGCAGAGTCAAGCAACGCTCATGAAAAAAAACGGTGGTACCCATCAAACTGCGGGAACGCTGGGGAAAAACGTGCAAAACTGGGATATAGCAACGAAAAACTTATGGATGTTTCGCAAGAGTGCTAAATTCTGGTATGTATTCAGATCGCCGGTTTCGACGGGGGTTGAATGTGATCAATGGCAATAATATAGCAACGGGTGGTGTTTTAGTGGCCCATAAAACATCAGGCTGGCCATCGCAAATGGGATCAACTAGAGGGGTTGGGATGGTGTCCAATTATTCAATGTATAGGTTTATCTGAAAAACCAGGTGGTTCCCCAAAACCCAAAAAAACTGCCTTTCATCATGAGGGCGCCATTAGAATTGCCACTTTGCGTATACTCCATTGTCCGACCCAGTTTTACACAGTTTCCTGTTTGGGGTCCCATGCTGACGTCATACTCCTTCCGACGTCATGGAGAGAAACCCATCGCAGCAAAACAACGCAGGCAAGTCCGACCCGGATGATCCTCCCAGATGACCGAACCATGTCTTCAGCGAAAGAAACAGAAACCATGTATATAATGAAACATGGGTGGTTTCAAATACTAAAGAACTATGTATATTCTATGTATAATGAAACATGGGTGGATATCATTATTTTGTCATGTGTTTTTATTCTTCCAAATAGTAAGGAAACATCAACTGGTTGGTGGTTGACCTACCCCTCTGAAAAATGATGGACTTCGTCAGTTGGGGCCCGATGACATTCCCAATATGATGGGAAAATCATCCAAATGTTCCAAACCACCCACCAGTCAAAGGTCAATCAAAAAATCAATGGATTGGTTTAAGGGAAAATTTACAGGAAACCATAGATTTTACCATCAAATATAGGGCTTTCCTGTAAATTTTCCCATCATCTGGTGCTGTGGTGACTTGACTTCTCTGCACCCCTGCGGGCGGCACCTGAACTCGCCCGAAGCCGCTTCTTTGGCGGAGCGTAAGCCTGGCTGACCTCAACGCCCATGGTGGAATCCCTACGGAATCGCAACGGTCAAATGGGGTGAATCCCTGGAGGTGTTTTTCTCAATGAACTGGACAGGGGCTTAACTGGGCTTAACTGGGCTTAACTGGGCTTAACTGGGCTTAACCGGGCTTAACCATCCATTTTGGGTCAAGAATTTTGCAAGGATCAAGGGAGCTGAACAGGAAAACAACCATCCATTTGTCGAGACGCGGGAAGAAATCAAACAGATGTTAAATCAAGAGGCGGCAAGTCATGCTTCTTGAAGATCCTTACTCAAGGCTGCATCCGCAATAATCCATCTCAACTAATTCATGAACCATGGCAGTCATGTAAAGTATGCCCTGTTGGGAACAGGAATTCCCCGTCATCAGGCATTCAGCACGGGGAGACTGGCCTGGCGCATGAGGCCATTCTCAGCCAGCATGCTCTGCTGATTGCCATCGTTGAGCCGCCAAACGTGTATACCTCCCCATCTCTCACAGGACTTGGCGCCTGAAAACTATGGAACTTTGAAATTGGCATTTTTGAGAGCACAAAACCTCTTGGGCACCAGGTTCCAGAACAACTTTCAGGAGATACATTTCAGGTTAAAAGAGGGGACTCATCTTAAATCCCTTATAAGTCGCTCCTATGAATTAAAAGTGGCTGCTCCAGTTGGCAAAATACATCTCGAATTGTGGGTCAAAACTGTTAAGGCCCACAAAATATGAACGTTTTTGGGACCCAGTCATCATTTCAAGTACTTTACAAGTCCTAAAGAACGGATGAAACTGACATAAACATGATTAAACATGGCTTATTCAGCTGATTCATTGGCCTTTTCCACATCATGGAGACGAGCCCGGGCTCCCCCAGGGCCGGCCTCCCAAGTGGTGTTGCTCCACCATCTCCTGTGCGGTGTCAAGGGAGATCTCGCCATCGCAGTTGAAAGGACACCTGGTGAAATCCATGGGCACCATGGCATTGGAAATACCCTCTGGTTAATAATGGTTAATGATGGTTAATAATGGTTAATGATGGTTAATAATGGTTAATGATGGTTAATAATGGTTAATGATGGTTAATAATGGTTAATGATGGTTAATAATGGTTAATGATGGTTAATAATGGTTAATGATGGTTAATGATGGTTAATGATGGTTAATGATGGTTAATGATGGTTAATGATGGTTAATGATGGTTAATGATGGTTAATGATGGTTAATAATGGTTAATGCTGGTTAATAATGGTTAATGATGGTTAATGATGGTTAATGATGGTTAATGATGGTTAATGATGGTTAATGATGGTTAATGATGGTTAATATGAAATACTAACATAGCTATGGGATTAGTAATGGGATTAATAATGATACCCTCTGGTAATGTGTTACAGTTTGCTATTGATTTAATGGCCATTGAAATCGTGGATTTACCCGTTATATAAAAATGGTGGATCTTTCCATAGTTATGTAAACGTTTACCAGAGGGTATGGGATCTTTTTATGGGATCTTTTTATGGGATCTTTTTGTGGGATATGTCACTCATGAATATAGATATATGAATGTATGGATATGGTGAGTGACATATCCCATATTATATATTCTATATGTTTGGATCTGCTTGGTGGGATCTGGTTGGTGGTTGACCTACCCCTCTGAAAAATGATGGAGTGAGTTCGTCAGTTGGGGCCCGATGACATTCCCAACTGAATGGAAAGTCATAATCCATTCATGTTCCAGTCACCACCAACCAGGGATATGTCACTCACCAACAAAATGATATGGATATCTGAATGGATTTTGGGTCCCAACATGCTGGGGCCCTGGGGCCATATCCGCCCTCAGTTACCATCAAGTCATCGGGGAAATGACGGTTAAATCAGTGGACCATTCATAGGATTCTAAACTCACTGGGACTATTCATAGGATAATCTATGATTATGGATTAACTACACGCGTATTTATATATATATATATCATATATATATATCATATATATATACAACCATTATGTATATAAATGACCTCCAGTGCTAACTGGAATTCAGATTTTTACTAACCAATTACATGAACTATCTGGTAAATATCGTGTACTTAGCATCCACCCATTCCGAAGACCAAGGCACTGCCCCACGAAGACCTGACCATAGTAAGGTTCCGACAGAGTGTCTCGTAGTAAGAGACAGTGTTTCCAAGGGCAGTATGTTGACATCTGCTTTTCCAGGTAGACATATAGACAATATAGACATAGACATATAATGACATGTGTATATATATATATTATATGTATATATACATATACATATACATATATATATATACTATATATATATATGTATATATATATATATGTAATCCTATATATATATACATATGTACACATATAATTGATATTGCATGCCCTGCAAAGAGAAAAGATGCTTGTGAAACATCATTCTACAGCACCATGTACGGCAAACAGTCCAAAAAATTGACTTACCAAACCAATGGTGACCCAAACGCAACAGGTGTTTGAGGTTTCCCCCTGGTGATTTCAGCCCCTGATTTCAGTGTGAGTGATGACCATGCCGGGTATAGGGAAAGAACGAATGGTGGGTGGTCTCACTGATTCATCCAATCCATTGCGGGCGGGTGCCCCACCTTGGAAGAATCGAAAATCTCCAAGTACTTTGCAAGCTTCACCTCGACACAAAGATGGGCTAGGCATGAAACGTGCGCTGGGTTCACACGATCGTTAAGTGCAGCACGAAGGTTCACCCCAGCACCCCGAGCTTTCGGGAATCAGCCTGGGTTGTCCTAGGTCCTAGGCTGAATCTCAACACGACATTTTTGGACCCACGCCCAGTGGCTCCCGGAGTGTAGGTCTGCAGGAAGACGTAATCCGTCAGCGAGTTGGTGCCCTTGAGATACTCTGCCTCGGTCCATTGGAGGCCTTTGGATTCGTCACCAAGATCCATGGGTCCCCCAGTTCTCCCAAAAGCGAACGTCCAAGGCGCAGTGCTTGGAGAAAGACCTATGCCATGCCCTTGTCCTTCGCCATCCTTTGAGGACGTAAAGGGTGACCGGTCAATTGTTGAGGACTGTTCAGTTTCGGGGGCACCCTAGTCTCTACAGAAAACACAAAGGTCCTCGGGTTGCTTAAACCATCTTTCCCCCAAATCAACTAAATATAATTAAAACCCCTCAAGTCTCTTCAAGTGTGTTTGTGTGCGTGTGTCACGTGCGTGTGTGTTTTACAACATAGAAAACGGAAAGAATCACAACGAATCCACAGAAATCCCATCTTTCAACATCCTTCCACCCCGTTTTGGCAAACCGTTCCAAGGCACACGAAAGGCCTTGGCAAGCTTCACCAACAGCCGGGGGTACCTCGAACGCTGGAGCACCTCTGGGTGCTTCAACCCTCCAAAATAGATATACCAAAATAGGATCCTACAAACATAGTGAGGTAGATCTTGAGAAAAAGATGTGATTGATCCTGACAAAAATAGTGATGTAAATAATAGGATCCTAATCCAAGAAAGATATACCAAAATGTGATAGAATCTGATAGATACATTCATCCTCCATCTTTTTACTTGGGTGAGACATTCATCCCAGAGAATTGGCGACCAGCTAGAGCTGGAGCTGGATGTCTTTGGCTCCTGTGGTTGTGCGTTTTGTTTCACGCGTGATGATGCAGGCCTTTTATGTCTTTTTTTAATGGACATGAAATTTACAAAATCTATGACAAAGCCTCTTGCACTCTGTGCATAAAAATTGGAACTGTCCTGTCTTTATGCATCAAAATCCTCTAGAAATGGCTGGCCTTTTTTCAATTGCCAGGTTTGGTTCCTCTAGGCTGAGCTGACACTTCACGAAACATACCTGGTGGCCTAAAACGGGGTACCAATGGACCCACAATTGTTTTGATTTGCATCGAACCATCCGACTTTGGGGTCAGGAAATTTGAGCACGGTTACATAGACTCTAGTAAATGGGTATGACTCGAAATCAAATATGAGGAGATTTTTTCACAAGAACAAAACCAACATCACAACAGTTCCCCTGAAATGTTGATCCCCCCATGCAGACCCATCGATTTTCTGGAGCACCAGTGCATCACGTTGGTGCCTTCGTAGTCCAAAACGTAAGCGCTCAAGTTGTAGTGTTCCAGAAAGGCCTGGAGCCAATCTCCACCGCGGGATGATTCAACGCTGGTGGCTGTAAAAAAGCCCCCTTGATGGTTGAAACCTGCAGGAATCCAAAACGCCCCTTTGGATCTTCAACGTTGATACATATATATATATATGTGTGTAATGTAATGCAATGCAATGGAATGCAATGGAATGTAATGGAATGTAATGTAATGTTATGTTATGTTATGTATGTATGTATGTACGTATGTATATGTGATATATGTATATGTATATAAATAAATATATATATATACATATTTATATATATTATAGAGAGAGAGAGAGACAGACAGGCAGACAGACAGACAGGCAGGCAAGGCAAGGCAAGGGCAAGGCAAGGCAAGGCAAGGCAGGTAGGTAGGCAGGTGGGTGTTAAAAAAATGACAAAAATGGACCTTGCTGGCCATCCTGCCGTATCCCACCCAGATCCGGCCAAGTGACATGTACTTTGGTGGCATAGCCTGGCTGGGTCAAATGGGGCACCGTCCCAGGTTTGTGGTTGGAAGTCGATCATTCCAGCGCGGAGTGAACAAAAACTGAAGCTTACGTCTATCCAAATATCAAAATATGTCAACCGAACCACCGAAAAACATCCTGAAATTCCAGCACCTAACATCTCCATATCCACCATCCACCCCCATTCCCCCAGCCTTCCAGTTGTTCATCCGAGACCTGCGGGCCAAGGGCACCCAAGCTTCCACCCCAGGTCTCCAAGGGAGCCTCGAAGTCGCCTCGAAGCCGAAAGATGGGGAAAAATATGGATCAATTGAGATTGAATTATGTAATCACCATTTTTGGACCTGGAATCACAACTTCTGATCATTTCTGTGCACATATTATCATGTTTAAAAAGGATCGTTCAATTGGAACATAGGACATTTCCAGACGGCATGGAGTAGCCACATCTGATTCAGTTGGAAATGGTTAGTTCAAATGTGAGCTGCAGGAGCATTTTCGAGTGGGGGGAAAACACGGCTTGGCCTAAAAAGCCACGGGGTCATCCCCATGCCAAATCAAGTTCCCATTGCGGGGATATCCGGGATATCTCATTTCGCTGCAGCGAGCGAAAATGATCTTCTAGGCCCCATGTTTTTTCGAACGCCGCTAGGGAAAACATGTCAACATATGCATTGGTTCAGGGACCCCCCTGCTACACGGGTTCGCAGTTTCAACACCCCCAAAAATGTTCTGATTTAAAATCGAAAACTTGTGAAACCACCAAAGAGGTATTTCTGGAGAAATGATATGGATGGATATGCCACTTCATAATGCTCAAATCTCATTTTTGCCGCTAGTCATCCCTCGTCGCCAAGGGGCTGGCATACCACTGTGCCGCCATGATCTCCAGGGCTGGATTCCTGGCATCTGCAGTGATGTCTGCAGTGAATTTGATACCCAACTCACTGGACCCTGAAGATTCTTGTCTCACCTTGGTTTTGAGAGGCAACTAAGATAACTAAGTTGAAGAATGCACAACTTTGATGTCACTTTTTTCTTGTTTTTAACCCCAAGCTACTCATTTTGCTGGACTGGTTGGAGTCGTTTGACCGATGTTGGTTGCTTTAAACCCTAAGCCACCGATTTCCTATGCAAGTGGGCACGGCCTCTAAAGTAGGGTGCTTAGGAACCGCGATTCTGCAGTGTTGGGATCAAAAATGTGTGGACCACTGGCATTATTTGACGAACCATGTTGGGTTCCGCCCTTCATCTTCAACGATCCAATTTCATGAGATTTTATCGCTCAATGATTGGTTCAATCTCCGATGATGTCCAATTAAGTCACTAGTGTTGCCCTCCGATCGTCAAACGTGGCAACTGGAAATTCCCGAACTAAATGGAGGTTGAAAATCGGAAAATCATGTACAAAGGAATGTTCTATTGCCAGGTTGATTACCGGAGGCTACTTCATATCTCACTGTATCCCACTATTCCCATGAATTCCTCCAGCGTGCTGCTTTGATCAGCGCTTCAAAGCGATGCAGCAAGCTGGCCTTGGCGAAAGGCCTTCCCCTTTTCCCCACCAGTGCCAGAGAGAGTGCTCTCTAGTGGGGAAAATGCGGGGAACCTGTTGATGAACCATTCAAGATCTCCAGATTTTATCTAATGATTCTAATGTTAGTGCAGGATCATACTGATGAATCTGATTCACCACTGAAACCCTATAAAGGGCACCTTTCTTGTTCCTTGTCAGGATCAGGATCTTGATCATCGAAAAATGGGGGGCGGACAGGACCGTCATGGCTGCCATTTTTTTGTCACTGTAGAAGTTCCAGTGGAAAACAAAATGCCATATGCATCCATATGCCATAAACCATCCATACCATAAAGGGGTGGTAACTATCATCTCAGGTGGTAGGTTGTGGTTCTGCCACAGGATTATGGCATTGGATTTACCACAGTATACCAATCAATGGATTGGTTTAAGGGAAAATTTACAGGAAACCATGGTTTTTACCATTAAATAGGGGGGTTTCCTGTAAATTTCCCCCCCCCCCTAAACCAATCCATTGAACCAAACCAAAAACCAGTCACTCCCTGCTGAGCACCCCAGCGTTCACACCAAAGCTCGCCTTGGGCGAACGAAGTCTCTGGGTCATTTCGCAAAGGCCGGCGAAATTTCGGACACCAACAGCCCCCCAAATCCAGAAAACTGATCTGGTTGATGGTTTCAACCCCTCTGAAAAATATGAGTTCGTCAGCTGGGATGATGAAATTCCCAACTGAATGGGAAAAAATTAAACATGTTCCAAAACCAGTGATGGTGTGAGAGGCAACACCCCGAGTTTATGAATATATGGTGGTACCAATTTTGATAGTAATTCATCACAACCATTTAAGGGGCTACCCCAACAGCTTCCTGCCTCGCAGTTGAAGAGCGGCCGATACGGAAAGACACGCTGCCGGTGTGGGGTCCAGTCGCCTGAGATGTCTGAAAAAGTATGATGTTTCATGGTGTTTCTATTGATTTTGGGGAAGATGAACACCTATTTATTACTGATTCAATATCTTGCGATACTTGAGGAGATGCATTCATGAAATTCTCAATAAACATCAAAATATCTAATTGATCAACCATTGATATACCGAAATCCACATTGCATGTTTGAAGTGTCATTATTTGTATATATGGACCTTACGGGACATAGCCATTCTTGGGGTATGGGTCCGAAAAAAAAAAAAAACTGTTTGGTACTCAAACATACTCAAACAAGGATAGAAATCTAGAGTCTGCTGGATCTGATCCATTCTGATCCATTGCTAGCAATGGGTCATTGATTTTCCGACTGTTTTGGAGCCAACATGGTCAAACACACAGATGGCGACATTGAAACAAGGTCTATTGGATCATCCATTTTCCATAATCGTCCATTTATTAAGCAGGGTTCCAGGTTTCTTTTCCAGGGTATGAATTTGTTTTCCCAAGAAACTGTTGTTTCCCAGTATCATCCCCGTCATGCCACAAAATTCTCCGAAATGGCTGGAAACAAACAAGTTGCCGCGTTTTAAAAATGTGCCCATGCCGGAAGAACGCCACGAAAGAAAATCACGTGTTGCCAACACGCACTGTAAATCGTCTTTATCTTCTTGCCTCCAAAGAAAACTATAAGCATCTCTATCCCATGCGTAGCACCTGATCCATTTTGCACCCATGAAATCTCCCCGTGATCCCGCCAGGGGGCACTTCTGCAGACCCATGGGGCCCACCAGCAGGATATCCATGGCATGGAAGGCGATCCTGTCCCAATCCGGCGACCTGCGTGAGCGTGGATGCGTCGATGCTGCGATGCTGATGGGATGATGTAATGATGTAATGATGGATAGTCCAATATATCTAAATAAAATCATCATCAGCCCTACTACAGTACAACAAAACTGATTTAGACTTTAGACCATGACATATCCTCAACCCCAGATTTACACCCTGAGAAATTGCATGGGTCATCTGTTCGGTTTGTCCAAAAATTGGCTACCCCAAAATCCATTGGTTTATGATCGGTGGAAGGGTGAAGTCAACGGTGAAACTACCGCATTTTGCCGAGGCACTCGCCGGGGTCAGCCAAGTAAACCCAACCAACCTTGGCGACACTTGCCAAACATAGTACATGGATCTGTTTGTCAATCTAGAATAACGCCTGAAAGGATAGAAAAATTAGAAAACAAATGTACAAGTACTACTATATACTACTATTTTAGCATGAGTGTTTTACGTCTCTATCTTCTTGGCTGCTGAAAATGAAATCTAATCAAGATTCTAATCTAATCTGATCGACTGTCATCTGGCTGTGGGTCAAGATTCTGGATTTCAAAGTTGGATATGTCTTGTGGGTTCTGGTAGTGGTACGTTCTTAAAGAGTAAGGAATCAATTGTCAGCAAACACCTTATTGACCTCATTTGACCATTACAATCAGAACACCATGAAGCTTCAAAACAAAAGGCAGTCATGCGCGTGATGGCAGTACGTAACCCAACTTGCTACCCACATCCGCGAATAAACCCTCTGCGGCTCTTGGGGGCAGTGGTTGTATCATGTTGTATCTATTTTTATGATCTCCATCTTGGTTGGTTAGTTCAAACCAACCCTGGCTTGTTGGCCATGGTCATGGTCACTGTTCCAAGTTTAATTAAGTTTATCTTTATCATGTTTGAAGCCTAAAGGCCTTTTTTTGATGGTAAGCCCGCATTTTTGCTGCTTCTCTCCCCAGTTACAAAGTGTAGCAGCCCCCGGCCCCAAAAATGGACAAGTCATTTCGTACATGAATTTTCATGGTACTCTAGATTCTAGATCCCATAACATACGAACCCCCAACGCCAACCCCAACCCCGTGGGGGTGCTATCACCCTACCCCCCTTCGGCCAGGCTACTGCCTTGGGCTTCGCCAAGACGACAACTAGGGCAGCAGCCCAACCACCCCAACGGTGGGCGGCCATGGCTCCCCATGGGAAATATGTTGGTTCTTGGTTGCTGGCGATGCTGTGCTATGGCACTATGGTGATGTTGCATCCTTGCTGCAGCTATTGCTGGTCCATGTGAGCCCGCCGTCATGCCAGCGCAAGTTATGCTTTGCTTCTACTGACAAAGGCTGCGGCAATTGCCACTCCTGAAGGATCGAGACCATGGATGTCCCAGAGAAACCCTAGCGGGGACTTGATTTGCATGGATCTGCCAATCATCGTGAGGGTCAAAAAAAACTGAGACTCGGCTTGACACCATTTGGCACCGGGCCAAGACACCCAAAATTGGTGCTTCAAGTTCAACCCCCCAAAGAAATGGTGGTTCAACCTACAACATCCCCAAAAAAATGGAGAGTTCCATAGAGCTCCTACAAACAGCCATCCGCTGCGGTGGATTGGTTGTGGATTGGGATTCCCTGCAGACTGTCTGAAGGTCCATGGGGCTGGCCTGTGATGTCGAGCCACATCATCCCGGAAAAATGTCTATCTGAAAAAAAGGAGGGCAAAAAAAAAATAAACCTGTGGTCAATCACTGTTTCCCCAAATAAAACCATCTTAAAACAGCCATTTTGGGGTGTACCGTACAAAATTTCCCCCATTGCAACTCTCATGGGATGTGTCAACTCACCAAGACATCCCAGGCCTGGACAAGCCGTTCGCCTCCCATGGGACAACACAGTTGTAACCCGTGGCCACATCGAGCATCCAATGTTCGCAAAAAAAACCATCCGGCCAAGGGCCCAAAAATTAAGGATCCATTGGTGCGGCCGATCCCAAAAACCCTTCTCAAAAATGGACTCGTATGACATCGACGGCGGAGAATTGTCTACAAAAGCAGCTGGGTTCCTGTTTCAAAATGGTGGACTGAAGTTCTTTGCTACGGGATTTATGTGGATTCAACTTGCGGAACCAGGTCTGCAAGCGTCTTTCATCCACCAGTCATGTGGCGTCTGTAAAAAAATGGTGTCATTGGGTCGCCTTTGGTTGGGGGGTTCCAGATTTGTCACGAAGCCTACTCTTTAGATCAACTAAACTAAATTCATGCACAGCCATACGCATGAAACGGTGCATTTCGTACAGTGAATCCCACTGGAATCCTCAGAAAAAAGCTCCGATCTCCTGGTGACACTTCAAACAGCACCCAGCTGATACATCTGAAGCGCCTGGGTTTCTCTGACCCAAGCGTTCAATGACTTTGGCGCAGCCTACGCGGCGGTGAGAAATGGGGTGGGCATCACTCAAAAGCGCATAGCTGCAATATATCTTTTTAGGTGTGTACAACCATTTGTATGTTCTATACAAAGTACATCTCTATGTTCCCTCTCCAAACATTGCATCAAACAAGATAGCGATTCAAAACCATATCATGATGGTCTAGCAATCCAAAAAATGAGAAATAACATGCGTACCGCAATTTATAAAGAGATCTTACACCATCGTTCGAACAAAGATGATGTTGACCAATTGAACTGATTAACGTACGTCAGTACAAAAACTGGTAGTTGTACGTGTGCATCATATATATATACATACTAATATATATATATATATTACATATCTATAATTACGTGTATATATATAGGTAGTCGCATGATATCGATGCAGTCTTAGAAAATGCGCCAACCTATTTATGCCAGTATCAGCATCTTGCCACGCGCCTGCCGCGGACGCTGTAGCGCTGTCACTGATCCCTGGGCACGTGCAAAAACATTGGAAGCCAACATATGGGTGTCTGAAAATGAGAGTCTCCAGTTCATGCCATTTTATGCCAGGGAAAATGATGAATGACTCTGAATGACCAGTGGATTTTTCATTGGACAAACACCTATTTTTTCGTCTCTCATACTTTGGGCTATCGGCTATCCACCCCACAATCAGCACCAGTGGGCCAGCATCACCGCCGAATCACAAAACCGGCGCCAAAAAACTGGCTGTAGCGAACAGTGGCAATCCAACACGTCATGGCAATGTGAAAGTTCCGTTTTTTTACCTATCTGCAGATGATTTTTCCAGTAAAAAATCATCTGATTATTCTGATTGGTGGTTTTAATGCCCATGAAACATATAGTCAGTGGGGATTGTGTGATGGAAAATAGCAATCAATTCGAGCCCCCAACAGTGACCTGCCACACTTTCTCAATCGAGACCCCCGACAGCCCGCTGTGCTGGAACTGGCACCTGGGAATTGGGATACAACTACCAAGCATGTTTTTGGCTAGTTTAGGTTTGTGGGAGAACTTACCAACAACCTGAGGTTTGAACATGTTTTAACCCAGAAAATGGGGAGCCTCATGGACGTTTTTTGGATATTTGACCACCAACACGTCATGGGTTTGTCCAAACTAACCATGGGATGTTGGGGGTGCGCTATTTCCAGACAAACCTGTATGTCCTCTATGGTTTCCACGAATGTCGCCAAAATTCAGGAGGGAACCACTTAGTCACTATGACACTACCCAAAATGTCGGAAATCATAATTAGATATAAGGACCCCTGTCAAATTTGCCCATATACGTATGGATTGTCCGCATATCAACTATCAAACTTGGCAGGTCCAAGGACTGTGCCGTCAGGTTGATCTTAGATTTTTGAACCCGTTTTGGGAATGCACCCTAGCAACTGGAGTTGTCTTTTTATCCTTGATCAAAATGAGTAAGTGTTCAATTTCCGAGGAAAAAAAACGTGGCGAGAACTGAATTAAATAGTTGAACTAAACCATGATGTTTGCAAAATGAATGGGAAAAAATTGCAAGTGGTTCGCAAATCCTGATTTTTGGTTTACCTACCTGAGCTAGGTGTTTCAACTGACACCAGTTCTCACTGAAATCATGATCTTAAAGCATGTTCACTCAGTTCAACGTGAGCGAATGGAAACTTTGGGGACGGTACAAACACCAAGTGATGCCGGGTTTGATAAGTTTAATATCACAAAAATTACCAAACACGGGTTTCATGCCATGAGTCCACCTTTTTTTGCGTGTTTTCCCAAGAATTTCGGACTGGCAACTACTTGTAACTAGGTCCACCGCTCATATCGGACCGCGGTACGAAATCGTATTTGTCACACGTGAAGTGAATGGAATGTTGATAATTCCAATGGAAAAGTATGTGAACATCCAAGATACTTTGAAACTCGTATTTCCATTGGTGGAAATGTCTCATGTGTTTTTCCCATTCCAATTTCAACATCAAATGGAGACCTGGCGTGCGAGGCTGTCTCTCTCTCTGTCTCTCTGTCTCTCTGTCTTTCTGTCTCTCTCTCTCTTTCTCTCTTTCTCTCTGTCTCTCAGTCTTCTCTCTCTCTCTCTCTCTCTCTCTCGCTCTCCCTCTCCCTCTCCCTCTCGCTCTCTCTCTCTCTCTCTCTCTCCCCCTGTAAGGGAAGTTTCGACGTCTTCCATTGGATCAGAGCTCAGACCAGCTTGCTCTACATCCCTCTTTCTTCCAGGCTGGCGTGTTGAAGCAACACTGCCTCCCGGCTGCTCAGGGTCTTCAAGCCTAGGATCCTGTGGTGGATCCTCTGCAGGTCTCTTGATTCCTGATCCACTTGAAGGTCCAGATGCTCGTTCAACACCAACATCTTGAATAGCCAATCTTTGTCTCTTTGAAGCATCTTGTTTGGCTCCTCTCTCTCTCTCTCTCCCTCCCTGCTCTCCCTCCCTCTCTCTCCCTCTCTCTCCCTCTCTCCCTCTCTCTCCCACTCTCTCTCTCCCTCTCTCTCCCTCTCTCTCCTCCCTCCCTCTCTCTCTCTCCCTCCCTCTCTCTCCCTCTCGCTCTCTCTCTCTCTCTCTCTCTCTGCAAGTGCCGGGGACGTTCGCACACCCACCCACCCCTCACCCCATGGTGACATGACGCAAGTTCCAAGAGAAGGAATCAACTTCAAAAAAAGAAAGCAAAAATGCAGTAAAAAAAAACCACGGGCTGTTGCGGGCGGTGGTCCAACTACCCCAGCTGCCAAGAATGCGCTCAACATGTCAACTGTGCAACTACCTCAGCTCTCGATTCAAGCTGAACTCCACATCTATCCCAGCTCTCAAAACTCAAAAACCTCTTTATCCACAATCATCACTTGCACCAGAAACAAATATGGGTTTTTCTGAAAACGTGGGAAAAAAACAAGAAAATCCGTGGGTAATCATGTCCCCATGGTCAAATGGCTATACAAATTGATGCAAAATCCCCCATTTCCAAACACAAACCCATTTTACATGTTGCTGGTTACATCTCCAATTTTACATCCCCAGATCATGGCTCCCTCCAAACCTCAACGGACGGCGCCTGTGTCATGTAGGGACCCGCCTGTCCAGCCACTGCTCCTAGGGAAGCTGATTCGAGATGTGTCTGAAAATTGCGCATTGACATGCATTGACCCCCATCGTATGGTCTGTTACAGATATGGAAAATGATGATCAACTAGGTTCCCAACATCTTCAAACAAACCCAGATGAAGCTATTCAGCTCCCAATGTAGGGAATTGCTGGTATTCAGGCCATCATTGGGGCATGAGAACGAAGCTATTTTTGAGGGGTCCCAGGGCACCTCGTTGGGGAGCGGGGACAGAGCTCGCCCGGGGCAAACTGCAACGCAACGGGAGTTTTAAAGGGAACAGGACGTCGCAATACCAGAAGCAAAAAAAAAACAGGGCTGAAGAATGGGAGTACTTGAGCAATCAATGGCAGTTCATGGTAGTTTATGGGAGTGTTTATCAACAAA